GACTCTGAAGCACACGTTCCAGTGCGTCACCACCCTCTGTGTGAAAAGCTTCCTCCTAATAACCAACCTAAACCTCCCCTGTTTCAGTTTAAAACTATTTCCCCTTGTCCTATCACGATCCACCCTCGTAAACAGCCATTCCACTTCCTGCTGTTCCCCCTTCAAGTACTGTGAGGCTGCAATGAGTTCACCCCCAAGCCTTCTCTTCTCCAGGCTGAACAAGCCCACTTCCCTCAACCTTTCCTTGTAGGAGAGCTGCTCCAACCATCTGATCATCTCAGTGCCTCCTCTGGACCCACTCCATGAGCTCCTCGTCCTTCCTGTGCTGGGGGCCCCGGGCCTGGATGCAGCACTGCAGATGAAGCCTCACAAGAGCCGAGCAGATGGGGACGATCACCTCCCTCTCCCTGCTGGCCGCTCCTCTTTTAATGCAGTCCAGAACACAGCTGGCCTTCCAGGCTGCAAGCACACTCTGCTGGCTCATGTCCGGCTTCTCACCCACCAGGATCTGCAAATCCTTCTCTGTGGGGCTGCTCTCAAGGTGTTCTTTGCTGAGTTTGTACAAACATCTGGAATTGCCCCTTCATCAGTGACATCAACAGTGGGGTCAAGTGCACCCTAATGACACCAAGCTGTGGGGTGCAGTGACACACCAGAGGGACGGGATGCCATCCAGAGGGACCTCAACAGGCTGAGTAGTGGGCACTCAGCAATGTACCTTCCTGGCCCAGAAAGCCAACCGTATGCTGGGCTCCATCCAAAGATGTGCAGTCAGTAGGCGAAGGGAGGCGGTCCTGCCCCTCTGCTCTGTGCTGTGAGACCTCATCTGGAGGTGCTGTGTCTGGATGTGGATGTCCGCAGTGCAGGACAGATGTGGAGCTGTTGGAGCACATCCAGAGAACAGCCACAAATATGAACTGAGGGATGGAACGCCTTTCCTATAAAGAGAGAGAGCTGGAGCTGTTCAGCCTGGAGAAGTGAAGGCTCCGAGGTGATCTGGTAACAGCCTTTCAACACTTGAAAGGAAAAACAAGGAAAGATTTAGCCTAGATATAAAGAAAATCTTGTACAGTGAGGGTGGTGACACAGTGGAACAGGTTACCCAGACATGTGATAGATGCTCTGTCCCTTCCAAGGTGAGGCTGGGTCAGCCTCTGGGCAACCTGATCTGGCTGTGGATGTTCCTGTCCGTTGTGTGGCAGTTGGACAAGATCACCACCAATGGTACCAGGTACTCCAGCTGGGATAATCCACATCCGTCACAGAGCCTCTCTGGGCCAGTCCCAGTATTCAGCAGACCAGGGGCTTCAGTTCATCACGCTGCTGGGAACCAGAGCTGCAGAGCTACTGAATGGGGGTCAGGGGGTGGGAGGAAGAGAAATTGGGATTTGGGTGTCATACAGATTCGGAAACTAACAGCATCTCCAGACAATTAGGATGGAGATATCTGGGGTGATGCTGAGTACAGCAGTCCAGAAGAGGACAATCCTTGGCTTTCTATAAAGATGAAGATTTATTACATCTAAGGGTGCACAGAATGCCCTTAAACAACTCTGCATGGTTGGAAGCAGTGCATAACAGCCCTGAAATAAAGAAAGAATAAGTTACCCCATTCCAAAGATGAACACTCAGCCCACACTGCCAAGGAAGTAGCCTCCAGGCACAGATGCTGCCCTTATGGCTTCCACCCCTTGAAAGTGGTCAGGATACTATTAAAAACAAAACAAAACAAAACAAAACACACATACAAAACACACAAGGGAAGATTGCAGCCCTGAAATGAAGAAGAAACCACTTACACCCTTCTCAAAGGCCAAAACTCACTCATGCTCCACAGGAGACAGTCTCCAGAGATCAACATTGCCCTTACATCTGCCAGCACTTAAATGTGGTCAGGATGCCCCAAAAACAGGAAAGGTCACAGCCCTAAAATAAGAAGGAACCACTCATCCTTTCTCAAGGACCAGACCTCACCCCACACTCCCAAGGAGATGGTCTCTAAAGACAGATACCACCTTAAAGGCTGCCAGCCCTTAAGTGAGGTCAGGATCCTCCCAAAAACAAGATATTGAAACCCTGGAATAAAGAATCACTCACCCTGTTTCAAGGGTTCACCACACACTCTAAAGGAAGCAGTCTCCAGGTGCAGTCACTGCTCCTTCTGCTGACAGACCTTAAACGCGGTCAGGAGCCCCCCAGAAAGTGAAATTACAATCCAGCAATAAAGAAGAAACCAATGAACCCATTCCAAAAACAAACACTCAGCCCACACCCCAAAGGAAGCAGTCTCCATGCACAGATACTGCCCTTACAGCTTCCAGCCCTTAAAAGTAGTCAGAACCCCCAAAAAGGGAAAGACTAGAGCCCTGCAATAAAGCATCAGTCACTCACCCCATTCCAAAGGGCAGAACTCACTCCCAATGCTCCCCGCAAGGCAGTTCCCAAGCAGAATACTGCCCTTGCTGTTCCCAGCCCTTAAATATGGGCAGGGAGGGGTGGAGCCAAGCTCAGCCCTATCCGGTCCCACAGGTAAATTGCTTCCACCTGTGCTCACAGGGCTGACCACACCCCTCACCAGGTGCTCAATCACTGCTTCAGACTGTAAACAACAAAAAAAGACTAATAATGAGCAGGTGATTGGATCTGCCTGTCCGGCAAAGGAAGTTTTATCACAGGATGAGCAACAGTGGCACAAATATTTTGATTCAAGTCTGTCCTCAAAGGCATTCGGTAAAATTTCTAATAGATAGGGGAGCACAAATTTCAGTACTGATACAGCGCACAGATTTCAATACTGATACAGCAAGATGCTGAAAAGCTGTGTGTGCAGCCTGGACGGCAAAGTTGAGATTACCGGTGTGATCTTAAGACTGGAGTGAGTGCTATTTGCCAAACTAGTGGGGACAGCTTATGGCTCTCCAGTGACAAATGTGTGTCGCTTACTTTCTTCGCAATTAAAGACCGTTGTGAAAATAATTCAGGATTTGACATCCTCAGTGGGTGAACCTGGCACCTGCCAGTATGGCAGCATGTTTTTGACTCAAGTATCAACCCTAAACCCCAAAGATACAGGGAGGCTGCAGTGTGCCTACTTCTGGCAGCCCCTGCGCTTCCAGAATCAGAGTTCACTGACGTACTGCAGTACCCCATTTCTGTTGCAGCATGACATGGGATTTCTCAAGTTATCACAGATTTGGAGAAAACATAAAACATTTCCAGAACACACTCCCTGTATAACCCACCTGTCTGTCCAGTTTGAAAACAGATGGAAGGTGGTGATTAACAATTGATTACTGGTGCCCGAACAGTTATACAGCTCTGCTAGGAGCTGCTGTCCCAAACACTGCTGACTTAACAGCTACTTGGCAAGCATGTCACTTTACTCCTGTGGAACCCAGGGCCCCTATGCGCCCCAGAACTCTTTCATGGCCCCATGATGGCCTCTAGAGATACTCAGATGTGTCCCAGAGCTATGGAGTGTGCAGTAGGCAGCCCAAGATATCATCGAGCCCTCTCCCAGCTCCTCAGCACACTCTGGGGTGTGATGGTGATGTGGCACAGGGAGGTGTCAGGTGGTGCGAGGTTATGGCAGTGTCACTGCAGGTGCCATTCGAGAAGCACTGTGGGGCAGATGAGCAGTGCCATCCTGCGCTGGCAGTGACGGTGACACCCAGTGCCACGCTGCTGCTGGGCAGCCACGTGGCTAATGTGACCGCAATGCTGATGCTGCACAACCACGGTGAGATCACACACAGGGCCACTGTCACCATCTGCCATCCCCTGGGGATAGTGTTCCGCAGGGCCAGAGCCACCACAGTGGGGGAACCTGTCCCCGTGTCCACACAGTGTTCCAATGTACCCAGTGTCCCCACAATGCCCCCAAACGTTCACACAATGTTCCTTTCCATGTTCCCATGTCCCAATGCCCCCACACTCCCCAACTTCTCCCCAGTGTCCCCACATCTTCCAGTGTGCCCACATCTCCCAGTGTCCCCCCCAGTGTCCCCACAGTGTCCTTCTCCATGTTGCCATGCTCCAATGTCCCCCAGTCCCCACTTCCCTTAATGTCCCCACAATGTCCCCAATGTCCCTACATCCCTCAAAGATCCCAGTGTCCCCCCATTGTCCCCCAACATCCCCAGTGTCCCCCCAGTGTTCTGCAATCTCCCCACAATGTCCCTACAATGTCCCTGGTGTCCCCACATCCCCCCCAGGGGACATCCCTGGTGCCCATCAACCGCTGAGAGGCAGTGGCAGCACTGGTGACAATGGGGATAGTGACATGGATGGCGGTGACAGTGGCGGCCACAACATTGTGCCACATGAGCCAACCTGTGCTGCATGCCAACACCACATTGAAATCATGGGGACATGAGGGACACAGGGGGATGTGAGGATATGGAGGGGATGTGGGGAGGATCACAGAGACATGGGTGGGACACGGGGATACAGAGGGTACATGGGAACATGGAGGGAACATGGGAATGCAGAGGGGACACAGAGGGGCGTATGGGAACTGCTGAGTCACGGCCTGAACCTCTGATTTATCACCTGAGGCGAGCCATGAGTCAGCCAGAGGAGCACAGGTGAAGGCAATTCACCTGTGCTGCCGGAAGGGGTGGAGCCAGGCTGCACCTCTCCTAGACCTATTTAAGAGCTGGCTACCAGTGGGGAAGGATCTCTTCTGAAGATTGCCTCTTCTGGTGTTTTGTAGGTGAGCCCAGCATAAGGGTAAGCTTTCCACTTATTCTCTTTGTTATCATTGTCCACTTTGCCTAACTCTCTTGATTATATTGTGATTGTAACATCTTGATATCCACTGATTATACAAGGGGACAACTGGGACATGGGGGAGCATAATAACATGGGGGACATGGCATGGGGCTACCCCCATAGGTGCTGGTGGAGGTGACAGTGGAGGTGACATGTAACCACTTGTGGGGCACTACACTGCAGCTGGGGGCCAATGTCAGCAGGTGGGCACAGGGGGACACAGGGGACAGGGGCTGTACAGAAGGGGATGGGGGGCAGGGAAGGGATGGAGGGATAGGGGGCAGCAGGGGGATGGGGGGATGTACAGATAGGAATGGCATGTGGGGAGGGATGGAGAGATAGCGGGGACAGTGTGAGGGGAGAGCAGGAATGATGTTGGAGTTATGCTGTGGGGTGACACCAGAGAAGTTGAGGTGATACCAGGGAGTGACAGTGGGGTAACACTGTTAGGATAACATTGTTAGGATGATGTTGAGGATGTAGTGGTAATGTTAAGTCATGGCTTGAACAGTGATAGAGCGCCTGGTGGGAAGGCAGGGCCAATCCAGGGAGCTCAGGTGCATGCAATGTTGCTGATTTGTCACTGGGAATGAAGTTGGTTGTTGGAGGCAAGGTTGTTAAGGGTTCTCGTCCACTTGGGCTCTGTACTATGCACTGGCCAGGCTGGTACAGCATGCAATGTAACAAGCCTTGTAGACCCTGGAGAGAATCAAAGAAGGAGAGAGGCTGTAGTGGGGGTAAAAGGCAAAGTGCCTTTTGAAGCAGGGGATGCCCTGCTGGTGCTGCCTATCTCATCTACTGCCAGCCTGGTTCTTCTCTCATCTTTTAGTGGTTTGCAGTCTCTCAAGAGTCAGAAATTAACAGTGCACTTGTTTAGGGAGGTTCTGCTTCCTGTTTATGGGAATTATGGTGATGCTGGGGGGTGACATCAGGGAGTGGCTGTATGGGAACTGCTGAGTCACGGCCTGAACCTCTGATTAATCACCTGAGGTGAGCCTCGAGTCAGCCAGAGGAGCACAGGTGAAGGCAATTCACCTGTGCTGCCGGAAGGGGTGGAGCCAGGCTCCACCCCTCCTGGACCTATTTAAGAGCTGGCTACCAGAGGGGAAGGATCTCTTCTGGAGATCCCCTCTTCTGGTATCTTCTGGTGAGCTCAACCCAAGGGTAAGCTCTTCCACTTATTCTCTCTTGTGATCCTTGTTTGCTTTACCTTACTCTCTTGATTATATTGCAATTATAACATCTTGATATCTATTGATTATACTCAATTATATTGTGATTATAACATCTTGGTTATACAGTGGCATTGAGGGGAGACACTGGGGTGATGGTGACAGGTGGGGAGGTGATAGGGAGTAACAGTGGTGGTGAATGGTGGGAGGGTGTGGGGTATAATGGTGATGGAGATGATGGATATGATGATGGTGGTGGGAGGGTGATGGAGGTATGGGGAGCAATGGTAGTGGTGAGGGAGTTGACAATTATGAGGGTAATGGAGGGGAGGTGATGATAGTGGTGACAGTGGAGGGGCAGTGACGTGGGTGGTGGTGGGGTGGGAATGATGGTGGTGGTGATGGGGGAGAGAGAGGATGGGGTGATGATTGTGGTGAAGGTTGATGGTGTGGGGGAACATTGTTGGGGAGAGACGTAGAGGATGTTCTTAGAGTGATGCTGGGGGGTGACTGTGGGCTGACAGTGACACTGATGTTCAGGGGGGTGACAGTCTTGAGGGAGTGATTTTGGGTATTACTAGGGGGTAACGCTGCAAAGTCACATACAAGTGACCCTGGGGCACTGTTGGGGGGGGGGGGGGGGGGGGGGTGACAGGGGTTACATTGGGGTAATGCTGGGGAGGAACAGTGGGGTGAAGCTGGGGTGATGTTGTTGGTGTAATGTGGGGCAGAGGTACTGGGATGATGTTGGAAGTGACACTAGGAGGTGATATTGTTGGGGAGACAGAGTGATGTTAAGGAATGATGTTGGGGTATCAATGATTGGGTGAAATCAGGGAGTAATGTTGGGGCTGAGGGTATTTCAGTCTCGCAGTTATGCATGTGCCAACTGAAGCACTCCACTATGCATGTGCCAGGTCTGCTGTAGCACTGCGTTTGCCCCTGATTCTGTTCAGCAATAGATATGCGTCCGATTCGGCACTGCAACACGTATGCGCCATTGTCGATACTCCATATGTCAGTTCCAGCACAGCAGTATGCACCTGCCTTCTTTTCCGCGTGAGCACCACGCTTGGGCCACTTAGCGCACTGTATTACGTATGCTCTGTGTTCAACACTCCAATACGCATGCGCCAGCATCGACGGTTTACTTGGCGTACGCCAGTGTCGGCATCCCGCTGCGCATGCGCTTTTTGTGGTGGTGCAATACGCATGCGTTTGTCTAGTTTCGCGCATGTGTCTTGATTTCCGCAGTCCACATATAAACGTCGCGGTTTTGCACTTTGGCCACTGGGTGGCAGCAGAGACCGCAGAAAAATCTTTAATGGGCTTGGCCCTTCCCGCGTCATTTTCTGTGGCTGCCCGTTCTCTATTGCTGGCAGAGTAATAAAGTTAGAGGGGGAAGGGGACATACAGGGGGAAAAAAAAAAAAAAAAAAAAAGGAAAGCACTAAGAAAAACAAGGAAAACTTCTCCAAACCCAGAAAACCTGTTCTGAGTGCTTGTGAATATCTATAAATTAATAAATAATTCATGTTGT